CTCCACAGGGGACTCCGTGGATTTGGCCTCCCCCTTCCGCCTGAGCACCCTGCTGCCACGCACCGGCCGGCTCTCTGGGTACTACCGCTACCAGGGCTCCCTCACCACCCCTGACTGCAGCGAGGTTGTTGTCTGGACCATCTTCGAGGAGCCGGTGGAGATCGGCCAGGAGCAGGTACCGGCATGCACAGCCCCATGCTCCAGTACCAGAAGGGCTGGACCCCCCGGGTGGCCCTTCTCCTTGCCCTTCCTGACCCCTAAGCAAGAGCACAGGGAAAGTCATCTCTACAATAATGCTCCTGGCAACCTGGCAATTAACTAATTTTATGAGGGTTAAGTAATGGAGCCGTGGCCACCTGCCAGCAGGGTTAAATCCCGTCCGTAGCGCTCTCCCACCCAGCCTTGATAGTTAGAAAGTTAAATGAGAGCAAACCCATTGGAGCTCAGAAGTGGCTCCAAGGAGGTGGTTGTTGGATGGGTGGATGGATGGATGGATGGATGGATGGAGTGAGTTGTCCTCTGCTGCCCAAGCATCTCTGTAGACGTATTTCCTTGAGGGTGTTGCGGACCAGCTGCTCTTTAAGTGCTCAGCAGAGGCAGTGAAACATGAATAGCTCCTTTAAAACTCAAGAGCTGATCCTTGTAGGGCCCTGACTTGTGCTTACCCTCGGGTCTGGTTTTGGGAGAGGTGTGAGGGGTGGCGGGAGGACACCCACTGGTGTGGGGCCATGCCGTGGGTCCTGTGCCATCATCGGCTGTGGGGCAGCGTAAAAAGGGGCTCATGAGTGGGAGGGGGCTCGGGATTCCTGGTGAAGAAGCTGCCCACCCCTGCCTCTCCCCCTGCACAGCTGCGGGCGTTCGTCAGCACCCTCCACTTCCCAGCTGCCGGCCCCACACTCCTAAAAATGACCAACAACTTCCGCCCGCCGCAGCCCCTCCACAGCCGGAAGGTCTTCGCTTCCAGGGCAGCCACGGCCAGCGGCGGGTCCCCGCGTGGGGGTCACTACCAGCCCCAGCTCCTCTCCCCCCTGCTCCTGCTGGCCCTGCTCACCCCTTCCTCACCAACCCCCTAGGGCCTGGCCCAGCTTTCCACCAGTCTCCACACTGCAATGGCAATGGGGAGGCAACTCATCTGGTTCATGGGTGAATGGGAAAAATAATAACAAAAAAAAGCATGTCGAGACCTCGGCTGGGTGAAGATTTTGCAAACCCAGATCTCTGCAGAGGTGAATCCCTGCAAGCCCAGTGGGTCCCTGCAATGTCCCTGTGGCTATGCGGTGGGAGCCACCAGGTTGGGATGCTGGAGGGGCTGGAATAAAGCCTCGCTGGTGGCTGCGGGTCGCTGCCTCTTTGGCTCTGTGTCCCTTTGGTGTTGCTGGGGCAGGGTGCTCAGCATGGGGGTAGTGGGAAGGGAGCTGGGGGACAGTGTTTGGGTGGCACTTGGGGATACTGGCCCTGCACAGAGCTGCACAGGTGGGTATGAGACTCCCCCTCTCCTCCCTGTGCAACAAATCCCCAGGGCCAAATCCTGGCCTGGCATGTGGCTCAGGGTCCTTTAGGTCCCCGTACCTGCAGACGCTGACATGTTGCTTTTCCCAGGGTTGGGTCTGGTTGATGTGGGACGGGGCTGTCCTTGGGGACACAGCACCCCTCAGTGCCCTGGGACAGGGCACAGGGAACCAATGGCTCTTTCTATGGAGCTAATCCTGCGCTGGCAGAAATAGCTGCAGCTGCCGGCGCTGCTCCTGCGCTGCTCGGCACGGCAGGGCACAGCCAGGGCCTGGGCAGATGAGGTGGTTCATAATTCATGTGCTGAAGCTCCAGGCCTGTTCCCGTCTCCCCTTGAATTATGGCTGTAAGAGCACAGGTCGTTATCTGGGGGCAGAGCGGGGCGGGCTGAGGTTTTCATCATTTCTGGGGAAGGAACCGCTGCCAGCGCAGGGGTCCAGTCCCCACCCCCAGCCCAAGGAGTGGCTGCGGCACCCATGGGTGCAGGACCCCGAGCATCCTCCTGGCTTGGGCACCCTCTGAAGCCCGGAGTGCGGCAGGGACATCTCCAGGGGGAAGGGACTGGCCGAAGACGCCGTGGTCCCCACGCCCGGGTGTTCCCTGTGGCCGCCGGGGCTCCATGAGCTCAGCTGGGGTCTCGGACAGCCCAGGCTGCCACCGCC